CATCGTATTCCAGCCGTGAAAGCCTTCGACAATACAATTACATTTTTAATGGCATTATTTTATATGCTATATCCTCCAGAAGTCTGTTATACAGTTATGAATGGATTTGCTAACTTTTCTTTTATTATATGACAAGGATGAAAAGTACAGAGTTCTTGTGATTTAAAATCAGTGATTCAACAAACATATACATAAACCTGTAAAAATGTTCTTAACAATTCTGTTAGTTCATTCTGATTCTTCTTGCCCGTTGTTTAATTCTTCTCACTCTTCCTCTGGTCAGAAATTTAATTCATTATTCACTTAGAATCTAATATAAGAACAAAAGCATAATGTTTAGTACAATGTGAATAGTTTTAAAAAGAACTTTTCTCAAACATGAGATTTGAGGAAGTAACTTATTTGTGTATTGAGATATTCAAATGGAGGAGCCCATCTGCATTTCACCCTTTGTGGGCCCTGAAAGTTAAAAGAACCAAGTAGCTCAGCATTGCTGTATTCTAATACTGAGATGGAAGGAAAGTAAAGAGAACAGAGTAAAATGACTCTGCCCTACCAGTCAGAACTTAATGTCCTACTAGAGTTTAACTCAGTTTACCATAATGATGCTCAAAGCCAATTTGTATCATATATAATGTGGTTATATCAAATCAAGTTTGATAGAAATAGGAAATACTGTAATTGTTGCTGATCCAAGAAAGAGAATATGGACACAGAAATACGCTTCTGCATACGTTTTTCTGCTTATGTAAAAGTAGGTGTTAGCAATTGTTTTAACAACTCTGCAGAGCAAATAGGCATATATGAGACATTCTCTGCAAGTACATATTCCTGGATCAGGACTGCAAAGCGTGAACACTTCACATAGTTTTTTAAAATCAAGTGGGATTCTTACAATAAAATCGTGTCTCATTTTCACTAGTTGACTGTACATTTTTGTGGAATATTTGTATTTTCCTCCTTTTGATTATTAAAATTATTGCCATTGTTTGAAAATGCCATGTATTTATACAAAAAGTTTTCAGTTTTTATTTTCAGTTATTTTATTCATTATTTTTAACCTAGAATCAATAAAAAATGAAAATTCAAAAGTTCTTGTTTGATTATAACTTGGTGAATGCAATATTGTTGAAGTGCCTGTTTTAACTGATATAAAATATGCATTCTTAGACTTTCTGAAATTATCTTTTTAGCCACTGATGATAAAAGCATTTTAGCTAATAAGAGGAAAATGCTGTGATTCTGGATCATTTTCTTGGGTTACAGAGACTGCTGTTGTGGGAATAAGTATGCACGTAACAAGTCGACTGTTTTCCATACTTGACTTTAATAAAGGATGGCAGTGTTGCAGACTCAGTCTGCAAGTATGTTTGACGTCATGTTGGCGTCTCCGACTATCAGTTTTTCTTTTTTCAGGGCATCCGAGTCAGAGCATTAATCCTGATCAACCCTCACAATCCATTAGGGGACATTTACCCAGCACAGTTACTGAAAGAATGTCTAGAGTTTGCGCACAGGTTTGAGTCCTAGCGCTATTTCTTTGGGCTTTAATTTTCCATAATGCGATATTTCTGTTATGAAAATGATTTTGGCAATCTCCTTTCACTTGGCAAGTGTCAAATATGCTTATTTGGCTTACTTAGGAAATGTATTGGGGAAAGAATTTATCTAAGATACAGGTTTTGTGAAAAAATAAGAATTCTTCAGTAGCTAATTTACGAAGATGCAACTAATAGTGAGTATTCATTTATACATTGTTAAGGCAAAGTTACTCTTGTTAAAGCTCAGAGGCCTGATGTCTGATATTTCTGACATATTTATGTCAGAAATATGAAAAATGGTCATTGCCAAAATCAGTAGTAATAGCAGTGTATAATATGTTGAACTCTTGATTTCAGAAGTACTTTGGTAGCAATTTATGAATTGGGGATTGAGAAAAGCCTCTAAAATTGAGATTTAAAGATCTTTTAAACCAGTGAGTAGAAAGCTACATGGTATATGAATAAATATATCTATAACTTTCTCAAAGAAGGATATTTTGGTTAAAGGAAGAACAAAAAATATTTCCAGTTGCCTCATTTTACTGCAGTATATTCAAATATTTGTCTTTGGATACATTCTTATAATGCTCATTTATCTTATACACTATACCTTTAAATATGTCCACAATTCTTAGTCTTACTGCCAACTAAACTTTGAGTTTATTGATTTACAGTCAGAGACCAAAAAAGGAGAAAAAAAAAGAGAAAGCCCACTGGTACAAAGGCTAGATAACAAAGAAAGTGGTAATATTTTAAAGCCATCAAAAATAGCCAGGCATTGGACTGCAGACTAAATCAAGCAAAAAATGTGTGACTTTAAAAGTTTTTCAGAAATATTTTTAATGGAATAATATGGTTCCACTTGCTATAAGTTCAAATCCTATAATGTTACCTCCATCTTTCCATGATTTTTTTTTAATTTAATGATGAATTTAGAGTGAAAAAAACTATAATAATTTTCAGAGGTTTTTTTTAAGCCTCAGCATTAGTATAATTGTTTACGACTATGCGACTTTAAAAACTTGGGGCTACATTTGACATTTGGAGATAAGATTCTTAGTTAACAGATTTTTCCAATAAACAGTTCTTATGAAAATATTAAGTAGCTGCTGATAAATTTCTGGAAGTTCAGGAATCTTTCTATCAGTAGCAGACTTCTGAATGTCTGTGAATAATGGAAATATAAATTCAGTTTGTTGTATATTTTGTGGCTTTCACTGTGGTAATATAAGAGATTCCCAGAGCACTTGGTGAGTGTCTTTGAATATATGTTAATTGTGTAGTACTTAAAAGGTATTTGCTTAATTTATTGATTGTACAATTTCAATAAAAAGTGAACTTGGGATATGTACTGAAGTCTCCACTAGCTTTTTGCTTTACTGTAATTATACGTAGCTGTTCTGTAAGGAATACTAAAATCAGTCTGTTTTGTATAAATTATATATGTAGAAATAAGTAGGCTTACAGGTAGTATGTTAAGTAGTAACTACAGTAATTAATCTATTTAATAAAATGAATGCATGGAGACTTTAAGGACTTCTTACATTTTTTTCTGTATATAGGTATGAGTTACATGTAATAATGGATGAAATTTACATGCTGTCAGTATATGGTGATACCACATTCACAAGCATCCTTAGCTTAAGGAGGTAAGGAAACACTTTCTAATTGTCTAACACCATAGATATGTATATGTGTGTGTTTCCATATGCATAAATGGTTCTTCTGTCTCCATATGTGTCAGGCCTATGAGATTAGATCATGTCAGAAAACACTCCACAGGAAGACTAGAACTATACTTTATTGAGACAGGCTATAGTAACAGAATCTTGCAAGTCTCCCTATGGTTTCCCTTCCCTCTGTCTTATACTCCAGGAATTCGGGGGGAGTCAGTCTCTCTAATATTTTCATTTCTCCTGGACTCAAGACATGCTTCTACACCTGTTGTTGTCTTACCAGCTTCTGGATGGTTTCTCCAAGGTTATCTCAATGGCTCCCTGTAACATATTCTTCCAGAACAGTATTTGATGTGATAACATACATACTATTCAAGAGTTGGTAGATTTTTCTACCCCATCTTTCTATTCCTATGCTAACAAAACTTACAAGACCAAAAAAAACCCCCAAAAGTTGATAGTTAATTTTAATATTACCTTTACTATTATATTTAATATTAAAATTAAGCCTGGTAAATATCTGTTGTTACAAATGTTGTAATGGCCAACACAGTGGGAGCCAAAGAAAACTCCCAAGGGAATGCATTCCCTAGCTAGGGAGCAATGCAGGAAAAAACCATCTCCCATGTCTCTGACAAGTGCAAATCAAAACGTGAGGCCACCTTTATGAGAATCTCTCCTGTTGACCTTAGTGATGGGAAGGGTTCATAATGAGAGAGGCAGTGTCTTTGTTCTCAGGCCCTCAACTTTTTAGGTCTTTAAAGATGAATACCAACACCAATAAGCAATTAGCAACGAGTGCAGTTCTTTTAGTACATTTATTCTAGTTAGCAGTCTACTTGCCGTATTCTGTACCTGTTGCAACTTTTGGACACATTTCAAGGGATTCCTTATGTAGAACATGTTGTAGTTGCCCTCCAGCAAAGGTGTGGACTCATGGGTCATTGCAGTTTAAGGGACTATATACAATACACTAGCTTTAGGAGCTAACCAGGCCTTGGTGGTCAAAAGAATTGCAGGAAAGGATCTAAAGATTATCTTTAGAATGGTATATACAGTCCACATTCCTTTTCTTAAGCACTCAGACCAGAGAGAGAAGGATGTTGCATAATATCACACCCTCACATACAAGATAAAGTTAATGAACTTATATGGTCACCTAAAGTGCAATAGCCAATTATTTCAATTCCTGGTAGAGGGTTTGAACCCTATAGAAAGACCTGTGGTTACATGTAGGTGCTGAGTCCCAAACAGGATGAAACTGGTTGTATTCTGCCTCTTGGTGGTCAATATAAGTAAAAGCACCACACACTATTGTACTTAATGAATGCACACAGTATTACACAGAAAATTCTCCCCTTCTCTCAGTCTAACGTCTCTATTCAAGGTTGTTTCCTTAGAGGTGGTTAAGTTGATAAGAACAGAACTGACTTCCATTCCAAATTAGTAAATGAAATCTATTGCTATTGTGTCAGTATATACATATTTTTGTCTTGCTGTCATGTCATGTTTTTCTAATGGCTGGAAAACAAAATCTCTTGTCAAATTAATTTATTATTTCTTTAAAAATTGTATTACTGCTCTTTAATACTATGTCTATGATTTAGCACCCTCTCTGTGTTAGAAATTCTTCATTAAGCTCTAATATGACCAAATTCTAGTTTAGTGCCTCTGTCCTTAGCTATGCTGCAATATGACAGGCATATAAATTTAATAAATAAATAAATAGACCTTCTTTAAACCAAATTTTTCCCATCTTTTGAATGGAAGTGTCTATTGTTGAATTCATTCCTGGACTCTCATGTATATTATAAGTGGGTGGAATGGGATGAAGATGGGAAATGGTCATTGGAAAGCTTTAACAGTGACAACTTGTCTTATAATATGCTCAGGACAGCAACAGTGTACTAAGTTTAAGAGCAGTGAAGATGTATAAAAAACCTGGAAAGCATGAGGACCCTACTCTACGTATTTTGTAGAGGCAGATAGAGGCAGATTTTTCTTTATTTGAAGGGATTTTTTTCTCTGTGTGTGTGTATTTATAGCATTGCACATTTTCATATGTACATACAGGTAGTCCTCATTCAACAACACTAATTGGGACCGGAAACCCCATCATTAAGCAGTGCTTAAATAAATCGAAAAACTATGCACTTCGTGACAGCAGTTCCAGCAGTCCTGGTTGCCATCTTTAAGTGAGGACCTCATGAGACCGCGACTTCCTGCTGGCTTCCCAATTGACTTTGCTTGTGGGAAGCCGGCAGTGGAAGTCATAAATCACGATCATGTGACCGCAGGTGGTTGTAACTACTACTCATTCAGCGTCATCGTAAATTGAAACAGTCACTGAATGAGTGGTGGTTAAACAAGGACCACCTGTATAGACAAAGCCCATAAACAGAGTACACTGTCACAAACTATATGATTGTGGTCATTAAATGAGGACTGCCTGTAGTTCCTATATATCAAACTTGCACTGATTTCTGTAGAAGGTACAGTTTTGGTGGCCCTCATTATTTGCAATCTCATTACTGTGGTTTTGCATATCTTCAGTTGATAATTAAAAACCACTCTTCTGTATATTTGTATTTGCATATTTATAATTTTGACTTCATTTTTTGTATGTATAAAATGGTAGAAAGGCTTTTGCACATTTGTAACATACATTTATTGAGGATCAGGGTAAGGTCATCTGCATAATGTACTATACCTGCATTTGCACCTCCTTGCTGAATTACAGTGGATCTCATGCTTAGCCTGCTTGCAAGGCGCCATATGGTTTTTTTGACACAGCTGGTGTTCTTGGAGCAACACTCAGCTGGTAATGGAGAGAGCCCCTTTTCTCATACCACATGGCTTTTCTGTGTCATGTGGCCCAGTCACAGTCTCAATGGAAGGGCCTTTCAGTTATTTGATGCCATTCTACTGAGATTATGAAAGAACTGCATGGAATAGAAAAAACAGCATGAGCCATATGGCACAAGCAGGATGATTCCCTCCAAGTGAATCCACAGAAGCAGCAAATACACGTATGTTGTATAGATGAACAATATGGAAGGAAGATGTCTCCAGAATATAACCCCACAATTCCAATTCAAGGTCATGTTTCCGGTTTTATTAGTGGTGGTTTTATCCTGGATTGAAACCCCCGTGAGTAGCAAGGACCACCAATAAATGAATAGAACTTATAGCAATAATAGATTTTATTGATCAGGGTGTCATTGTCCTTATAAGTGAAGGGTTTTTTTTTAAAAAAAGAGATATTAATTCTACGTGAATATTTCTTTTTAGTTTACCAGATCCAGACAGGACCCATTTTATGTGGGGATTTAGCAAGGTAGGTTAGAAATGCTTGATATCAATGTGTATTCAAAATGTACCTGAACATCTGAAGTGTCAAATTTTCCTCTTCCATACTATTCAGTTTGGACTCTAGAAATTATTTATGCTATTGGCATTGATCAATCTGGAGTTCAGACTTCTGTCTCTATTACTGTGGTACAGAAGGCCTAATTTCCAGTGGGACTGTGCAATCTAATTAAACTCAAAGCATAGTTTAATCTCTTTAATCTAAAAGAAATAAAATGCATCCTCAAAGTGGTAAGAAGACCCCCCTCCCAATTTTTCATAATATTCAGCATCTGCAGCAAGCCACAGGTGATGCACAAATGACACAAATCCTGCCCTTGTGCACTTGTATCCCAATATCTGGTGCAAGAATGTAAGTAGTGGTACTTGCATCCTGATTATGTGACACATTTTATCATTTGGCCTCTTTGGATGCCATGTGTACATTTCTGGGCATAATTCTTTCAAATGCCAGTTAACTCCAAGCATATATTTGTATGTCCTCTTCATGGTTATTCAATGTTGTTATTTTTAATAATAATTTTTGTCTGCTACTAAAATCTCTGATACCACCAAAATATCTTAAATCCCCCTGCCTTGCCCTCCCAAAGCTGCTAGGTCTGCAGTTAGGCAGTTGGAATACTCAAAGGTTGCTGCCCTCAGACAGAAGCTTGTTTCTCCTTTTTCTAAAGATCTACATGATGGTCTCAGACAAAAATATTATCTAGTACTGTAAATTTGATAAGATAAACTGAGCAAGTTATTAATACTGCTTTGATTTGTGCATAAAAGGGTGGCAATTTACAAAAGGATGTCAATTTTTGGATTATATGAATGAAACTTGAGAAATTCCATATTTTATCAGAAGCAGAAATTCTGAAAATTTATGTATGGATGTGCGTGGTATACTGCCATTTTAAGGGCACCTTAAATTACATTGTTCTCTGTTTACCCCTCCCTGTTTCTCTTCTAGGATTTTGGCATGTGTGGTGTCAGAGTTGGAGTGTTATACACCAGAAACCATTCTATCAGGAAAGCAGTTAATCAGCTGGTGGTTTTCCATGGATGTCCTGGCCCTGTGCAGCACGTTCTCCAACAAATCCTTAGAGACAGAGGTTAGACAAACCTGAAAATGTGACTGCATGTGCACACAAAGCAGAGTCTGAATAATGAACGGAGAGCCAGTTTGGTGTAGGGGCTGAGGCACCAGGCTAGAAACCAGGAGACCGTGAGTTCTAGTCCTGCCTTAGGCACAAAGCAAGCTGGGTGACCTTGGGCCAGTCACTCTCTCTCAGCCCTACGGAGGAGGCAAGGGCAAACCACTTCTGAAATCTTGCCGAGAAAACTACAGGAGCTTGTCCAGGCAGTCGCCAGGAGTCAACACTGACCTGAAGGCACAATAAAATAATAAAATAAAATAAAATGAACTCTGGTCTTGAGAACAATAGCTATTACATACCAGAAAAATTTAGTTTACTCCATCACCCTAACTCTGACCAAACCATGATTTGGCAACCATTATTGTAGTCAATGGCAAGTTACATAACTAAATTAACAGTGGAATCCAGCTAAAATCCACTCTATTTTTTCTTGTCCATTAATTTGTCACTGTTATTGTTTGATATTATCCATTTGTATTACTTTGACAGAATGGCTGGATAATGTGTTTTTCCCAATAAATAAAAAAAGATTAAAAGAAGCTCAAAACATTCTTGTGGAAGGTCTTGCAGAGATTGGAATACCTGTTTTAAAAAGCTCAGGAGGATTATACGTGTGGGCTGATTTCAGGAAGGTATGTAAAAGAAAAGGATAAAAAATATAGATTGAAGAAAATAAGTTTCATTGGCTGTTTGAAAAATAAGGATGAAACTATTGACACTTTAAAATAATACTTCATGTTTCTATATCAATCATTCAAAATATTTTGAGGTAATGGTGTCCAAAATGTTTTGTTTCCAAACATTCTGAACATGAAATACCACATTTTTCATTCTGGACATTTTGGAAATGTTCCAATCTCAAAAGAGAAAAGCCACCAAAATGCTTAAAGTGACCTTGTTCTACATTCAAATCCAGAGTGTTTAATGAGAGAAACATTCAATGCTCTTCTCAAGTTTCTTCAACAATTACTTTTCTTTTGGCTTCCCTTAAATATTCATACTTCTCCTTTCCACCCGAGTGTTTAATGAAATTTTGCATCTGTAACATTTTAAAACAAAGTATTTTTGCACACTCTACACCGTTGAATATTGTTTAAATTAAACCACTAGTATTATCCTTACATACCGTGATGAGTATACAGAATCATGACATATATCTTTAATAGTTTGCTCAGCTCTAAAAAATGTAAATTTATGTAATGGGCTAAGATAGAGAAAAAGTTGAATACCAAGGTCTCCTAGTAAATTGGTTGAAAACTTTGATCACCTTGATCTTTTTATTCTTTTATGAGAGGTGCTTTTTATGTTAATTATAGTGATTTTATGTAGCACTTAATGCATGTTCATGTTTTTTCTTAGTATTTACAAACACAGACATTTGAAGCTGAAATCGATTTATGGATGAAGATTCTCAATGAAAAACTTTTGATTAGTCCTGGGAAGGCCTTCTGCTGTTATGAACCCGGATGGTTTAGACTAGTCTTCTCAGATTCTGTAGATAAGATTACTTTGTGTAAGTTTTCAGTTCTGTAAAATCATCATCTGATTCTTTTTCCATCTCTGCAGCACTCATCCCTGATTTCAGCTATAGGCACATCACTAGACTCAGAGAATAAACTTTAATAGCTTATTCTGTGGGACATCCAAAAGAGCACAAAAATAAAATGAAAAGTATTTTTAGTGTAGTATACATTAAGCGTTTTGTTACGATGTATTTGATCCTTCTTGATCATTTGAGAGAAAGTAAGATATAGAGAAAATGTATTAGTGCTGTAAATGCAATATGATCTTTATTTACAATTATTTCATTACTATATTAATTGCATTTTTTTCCTGAACTCTTAATTTGTACAATTCTTACCAAAATAAGTCAATAGAACTTGAAAAGATTAATTACTGATTTCTAAAAAGCATTTGAAAAAATGTTTTAACACTGGGACATAATTGAAGCTGATGTGATCAATTTCAGGTCAGTGTGCATTGCTGCAACTTATAATTTAGAATTTTTCCAGGTGCAGAATTCTTTAGACTTCTTTTCCAGCACTTCTGTGCAATGACAGACTTCAGGAAGTAGTGCTCATCTATTGGAAGAAGGCTATTCATTCTAATATAATGAACCTGGTATTTTATATACTATCTGCACTTCTGTGTCCCTTGCAGTAATAAATTAATTTTAGCTTTGCTGAGCTTTTTGTTGAATGCATAAACAAAATCTTGATAATAAATGCTTCCTGTTGTGGTTCTAAAGTTCATTATTCTCTTGGTTTTCATAGGTATTCAGAGACTTCAACAAATGCTATGTGATAAAATGGATGAACCTGTTACTATTTGTTCATCTCCTGAAGGAAACAAATGTATTGAGTCAGATGACAATGTGTCTGCTAATGTCATAAATACACCAGTGGATGATATGTCAGAGGGATATTCACAGCTGAAGAAAATAACTGTATTCTAAGATCTGGACTGCTAAAACAAATAACAACCTCTCTGTTTTTATGTATCATGAGACTCCCCTTTCTTTTCTTTTTATATAACCACAAATTACAAACTATAAGGTAAATGCTATATTCCAGATTTTAATATCAGGACTATTATGTCTGAGAATCTGTGTTTTTCTAGAACCCAGCTTTCTGTATTGGCTTCTCTTAATTGAAGCATTTAGTTCATTCTTTAGTGCATGCTGGGGTAAATTAATTGGAGAGTAGCTGGCCATTTCTCAGCTATTTTTCTTTCAGGCAGGTTCCAAACCTTGAAACAAGGCTTCTGTTGCCAGATAACCAGCTGGGGAAAGCAAAGAGAGGTGTGTTGGTGAATAGTTAATACATTTCCCTCATTCTCAATCTGTTTAAAATGGGCCTTGACATTATTTTATACAAATGCTGGCAGCCTTTCATTCTCTCTCTCTTAATAATAATTCAAGTTAGTCTGTATTACCATGTCACTTTGAAATATTTGAGCTTCACTGATATCCAAGCCAAGCATGTGTGGATGCATTTGTTACTAACAACTTGGGAATAATTCATATTGTTCCCCTTTATTTGGAAAATGTTAAATCACTGTTTAAAAACTTTGAAGCTTAGCTTTCTTAATGTACTGTATTTTGCTTTCTAAGAAAGTTCACTTTTTTTGGTTATTATTCATTTGTGTTCTATAAGTGTCCTTGTATGTTATGCTGTTCTTATGGAATCAGATTGTTACATTTGTTTTGCACTACAGCATTGTATTTTTTTTTAAGCAGATAACTGATTTGTGGAATGTATAAAGCTTAAGGAATTAAAGGAAATGTATGTATTTACAACTAAGAATATTGAAAGTCATGGGTACAATTATGCTTAGGACACCAAAGGGCTGAGGATAGCAGGATTCCACTCTGGTAACTACAGGTAGTCCTCCAATTACAACCATTTGCCCAGCAACCGTTCAAAGTTACAAGGGGGACTTATGACAGGTCCTCAGAGTTCCAGCCATCACAGCAACCCCACGGTCATATGATTGTGATCCAGGTGCTTGCACCCGGCTCATGATTACATCACACTGAACCATGGTCACGTGATCGCAAGTCCTAACGTTCCCTGCCAGCTTCCTACAAGCAGTCAATGGAGAAACTGGCAGGAAGTCAGAAGTTGCTATTACATGAGGTCCTCACTTAACAACCCACACAGTCCTCATTGAATGATAGCAACTGGGACTGCCAGAATTGCCATCACTAAGCAATGTAGTCATGTCATGCTTTACTACAGCGTCCCTTAGCAACAGAGTTCCCAGTTGCTGTCATAACCTGAGGACTATCTGTAATAGCTTTAAAACTTTCTGACTAAAAGAAGAATCAAGGCAACTTTATGACTAGTTAGGATTTTAAACAAACAGGGTTTGATTGAATAGTGGTTGAACACAAAAGTGGTTTGCCCAAAAGTTGTTTCACTTAAGCTGCACAGAATTAATGTACCTTTCAGCTTTGCAACAGAGGGCCAATTCTAATTCTACTCTTCTTTTTTACAGTAAGGATTACATCTTAAATATAAAGAAGTTGGATATTAGGTTTGTAAAATCTGAAGATCACTAATCTACTGTAACAAATTATTTGCTTGTAGTTCCTTGTACTGCATCTTCAATACATTTCAGACATCTGATTTGAATAAATTACTGTACATTGTTTAACCAAAAAATGGTTAATTTTTATTTTTGAAATGTTTCTGTAATTTTTTAAAAAGTTTATACCACACCAAATTTGTTTATAGTAATGCAGAGATATTAAATACACAAAGTTGAAAGCTAAAATGCTGAAATAGCTGAAAATAAAAACAAGATTGTTAAAGGGATGGGGTTACTTTGAGCTTTCTCAATGTAATCATCAAATCAAGCATACCAGTTAAAATGCCTAGATTTCTTCTGATGCCAGACTGTGTTATCTACCTTACCAGATTAAATTATCTGTGAAAGAGTCTCAGTATTAGAGCTGTCCTATCTAGGCTACAAAAATCTGGGCAATTACTAGGTGGCAACAAAGAGAAACCTGCCACCATTTGGGGGCTGTAGAAAAGTTCAGCTGTATATGAAAGTCTTGCTTAGCATATGATTTTATAAGTTTAAGTCTTTGATACTATGTTTCAGCAATGAAGGCTAACGTAGATTAATACCAGCACCTATAGTTGCATTCAGAAGTACATGGAGAAGCAGTGGGACATTGTTGAGGTATGAGTTTACACTCAGCAGTATTGTAACTTGCATATTAAACCAACTGCAAACTTCTGAGTTACTCAGTTGTTAGCAAAGGACCTTGTCTGGAAAGCTGAGAAATTTGATTAGCATAGGTTTATTTAAATCATTATATAGTCCAACAGATAAAGCAGGAAATGAACTAGATTTGGCTTATATACCTGAAAGGTGTGGGGTGCCAAACAGTATGTTATGATGGATATATCAGTATATGAATAGTTTGGAATGAATCTTTCCCTGAATCTCCACTAAAGGTTGGATGTTGCTGCCAGACATGGATCCAGCTAGTTTTTGCTTATACTGCATTCTGTTTTATGCAGTCCTGGTTGATGGAACTGCAGTACTAGCCAAGGTCTTAGAAAATTACTAGGGCTATAAACACAACTTACACTAAATTGGATACAGTTGCTTAACTGTAGAGTTATTTCAAATTCAGTATTCCACAGAGTGGATAACAAGTATCTATGGAATACCAAAGTTGGCATGAAAAAAAAAAAGCAGTGAGAAATGTTTTATCATCTTCGAGTGGATAACAAGTATCTATGGAATACCAAAGTTGGCATGAAAAAAAAAAAGCAGTGAGAAATGTTTTATCTTCAGCTAGTTTTTCTTCTGTACAGAAAACAGGACTTTTGAGCATGCCTTCATTGTATCTAGACCGGATTAGAGGTGCCTTTAAGTATAGTGCAGAAGCTTCCATTAATTCCAAATGCAGAATGAA